TGGGTGTCACGTTTGCAAGACTCCAGACCACTGGGACCTCCCCAGTCAGCCAGGACTGCTGGTAAATGATGGAAAGTGGCTTGGTGAGCACTTCTGCCAGCTCCCTCAGGACCCTGGGGGGTATCCCATCTGGCCCCATAGACTTATGTATGTCTAAGTGGTGTAGGAGGTTGCTAACCACCTCTTCATGGATTATGGGGGCTTCATTGTGCTTTCCATCCCTGTCTTCCCATTCAGGGGGCTGGGTACCCAGAGTACTGCTGGTTTTCCTACTAAAGACTGAGGCAAAGAAGGCATTAAGTACCTCAGCCTTTTCCTCATCCCTGCTCACTATGCTTCCCCCAACATCTACTAGAAGGGGGAGACTCTCCTTAGTTCTCTTTTTATTGTTTTCTTTTTATTTTATTTTATCTTTTATTATCATAGTTGAGCTTTTTATTATATTATTATGAGGAAGCACTAAAACATAATTGGATATCTTTTTATGTGGTATGTGAAAATTGTCCCCAAAAGAAGTGATTTTGACACGAAAAGAAGCTGCAAGAGTATTTGATACCTGATGATAGGCTCTATATTTGCTTTTTAGGGAAGGAAGAGTATCTTCTGGAGAGCATAAAGAAGCAAACTTTGTGAGGCTCTGTCTCCAGCATGGCTGGTGTTATGTTCTGTCCAGTGTTACTGTTGTAAAGTCTTGTAGCACAGTCTGCATCTACAGATTCTTCACTTAAACAGTTTCTGTGGAAGTGTAGATTATATGAATTTATGACATTGACAAGGAGAACAATTTCTTATTGCCTCTTAAGAATCCTCTTAAAGCCCTATCACATTTCCCTTCCTGGATGCTCACCAGCCTCTGTTATTTTGAGTTCTGCCCAAGCAGTGGTGGTTTTAAATTAACTGGGAATCCTAAGTGGAGTCTGGCTCTCTATTCATCATTTAAAATATTGAAGTGTAAGTGTTGGTTTTAAAATTTTAAAATATCTGCTAATGTCTGTTAAGTGAATTTTTTTTAGTTATAGTAGAAATAACTTTAGGAGGCTTTTTCATTTGCATTGCATTTGCATCAGTCATTTATACAAAAGCTTAGGAAAAGTTATGGCTGTAGCTGATTGATTACTGGATTGTTTTGAGAAAATTATCCTATGCATAAAAAACACAGTTTTAAAAACCTTCTGTGGAAGTAAAGAATTATAGCTAGCTTTGGACTGTGCACCCATTTTTTATAGTATTTAGTTTAGCACCCTTAGTTAAGTGCTGGCCTGGAAATACGTGATCTTTCAAAGAATTTGGTAAATTAATTAGGCGTCACGTTTTTTACCTGGTGTTATTCATGTTGAAATGAGTTTCACTGAGTATTTTAGTGAATGCAGCAATTAAATAGCCTTCCAACACTGTTATAAACATAGCTCTTATATAACTTCATGCTCAGTATAACTAACTGCAGGTTTTTGCTTTCTCTCTAGCTTTTGTCAAATTTTGATACTTTAATGATGTTTCAAACTGTTTGCCTTCCAAGGATAAATTAATATTCTGATTGCATGACAATTTTTTTTAAAATTTAAGCTGAGACTACGCATTATGAGAAACAATAGCCTTGAACTGTGGAAGCAGTCTGCTTACTGCAATGAGATAGAAAAATGCATGGGATGTGGAGTGAGGGATGGGACATACTACTTTGTGATTTTAATTGTTTTTATATCCTAAACAAACCTAAGGCGATGTGCTTTAGGAGAGACTTCTGTGTTATCAGAGCGTGAGTTCTCATTGGAGTGGTAGCAGGTGGAAGGGGGACAGCTATTTTTCATGGTGGCAGACTAGAAATGTCTACCTAGGACTACTGTTTTGACTTTGTTTTCCTAGATGTCATTGGTGTTGTTTTTAGTCTGGGAGAGTACTTGGGGCAGAAAAGTAGAAGTTCAGACATTTGTATTGTCAGCTTTGATACATATTTGAACTCCAGAAGTCAAGAGGAAGAGTGGGCTATTTAGATTCTGTGTGGTTCAATGCAGTTGTAGTATCTTAAGAAAAAAATAACAAAATATTTATCTTCCCCCGAACAATAGAATATTTCTAGGAGCCTGTATTAAAGCACAACATCTGTTTACCTCAGAGCTTGATGTTTGAGCCGAAGTCCTTCCATTGAAATAGCTTAAATGCTTTTTTCTTTAATGGTTTGTGCAGGTTAATTTTTTTAAAAAATATGTGCACATAGTTGTTGTTTAGCTAAGGTATAATTCCTAGAACTTGGGCTTTCCTCTTACTTTCCTACTTATGCTCATTCTAACTCTTGGGTATCTGCAGTACTGCAGGATGTGTTATGCAGTAGGAAGGAGCCATGCACAAAAGGTATCTGGCAAAGAACTGTTGCCTACCTGTTTCTAGACACTTGTCTCCATCTTGATAGGCGGTTGTCATCACACTGTTATTTCACATTTTACTGGACAACACCTGTTCCCATGAAATACCATCATTCTCAATTTCCAGTAAAACTCCACTGTGGTTGTCTGTTTTCATATTTTGCTACAGGTCTGGAAAGCAGTACTAGCAAAGTCCCCAGTGGTTACTATTCTGTAAGAAATAGATGGCATCTCCATTTCTGGGTAGAACAGAAGTTCCTTAGTGGAGAAAAGTTCCACTGTACTGAAGTGCAGGATGGCAACAGCTAAAATAACCTTCTTCCTGTCATTGGTCAAATGATCTGCCTTGAGCTTCTCTGTAGGAGAGAGATTCTCCAGCAAATAGTAGTTCCTTTAAGGAGAGATTCAGTATAACCTCTTTATCCTGACACTGTTGTAGACTGATAGGTTAAGGAGAGAAGGTGGCTAAACCCTAAGGAAGAGGCTACAAATGTACATTGTCATGTTCTTTCTACTGCAGTTCTCCATTCACCAGGAAAAAGTGACCCATGTTAATTTGGAGTCCATGATGTCTGACATGAGCTCTATCAAGAAGCTCTTTGAAAAAATTTCCTTGTACTTGTCTTTAGATTTTTATGTATATTTTTGAGCTTTGGATTGCACCAACCAATTTATTCCTGAAGTTCTGGAGTAATATATTGTAATGTTTGTTTTAAGCCAATTCTGTGTGAAGTTAGAGCTTCATGTACAGAATAATACAATTTGGAGTAAAAATGCACCTATCAGAAATCATAAAAAATCGGATCAGTCAGCTGTCAAGTTAAGCAAAGTTGTATCATTCACCAGCAATGTGAGCATCACCTCAGGCTAGCTCAGGCTGAGTAAATCAACTGTTCCTTAAATCACACCCTTTCTTAAGTATCATTGACATTGCTGGAAATTCAGTGTACATAGAGAGAGCAGAATGTATTAGTTCATTGGTCCAAAATGATATGATTATGTGTGCCAGGAAGTCTAATCTGAAAATTCTGTATGTAAACGGTGCACAAGACCTGTATTATATCAAGTCCTGCATCACAGAGCTCTCATCAGTACATCCTTGAGGTGTGAAAAATTTGTCACTAGGCAGCATTGCTGTGCTTCTAAAACATATGATGTAGGCACAGACAGTAATTAATCTGCAGGCAGAGTAATCTTCATTCAATCAGTAGCATAACCTGTCTATATTAGTGGCTAAGTGCTAGGTGGAGCTTGGGCTGGAGCCTAGGTTTTACTTTAGATGCTGTGTAGAGTCTTTTCTGAGCTATAGCTTTTAAAGCATGCTAAAGATCTTTTAATTACTCATCCCAGCATGTGGCAGTGACATCAAGTAAACTCCCCCTGCAGAAACTGTGTTCATCGAACTGTTTGATACTGTCTTGCATGAAGTTGTAGACACACATCTCCGTTTTTTTTTTTTTCAGGAGACTATGCCTTATGGTGGCTCTGAAGAAGAGCCAGGGATTCTGTGCTGCTAATGGGATTGGACTGGATGATCTTTTGAGGTCCCTTCCAATCCCTAACGTTCTGTGATTCTGTGATTCTGTAATTATTAAACAAGAGTGTAGTAGGCTGCTCAGTTGTCATGCCTTGTTCTGTATAGCATTGGACCTATCGATACAAGGCTGAGACAGATGCAACCACATGGGATAAAATTTGGGGTTCAGTGGCAGTACACAGGAGATACTGTGGCACTTAACATAAGCATTAAGTGTATTAGCCTAATTTCCTTAGCAGACTTGTGACTATGTGGTTCTACAAGTTGCTGTGGATTGATGATTTTGTTGTTCCTCTGTAGCAGGTGCTGGAGAAGATATTCACTGTGTTTACTGTCATTAACTGATTTTTGTCTTTTGAGAAGTCCTTCTTTACTGGTTGCTACTGATTTTGCATCCCCTTTTTAAACAGATAAAAATACATTTTCTGCCAATTTCTCTTCGAAGAGAAATACATGGATTTGTTTCTAACTTCTTGGACTATGTAATTTGGACTGTATAAGAGAAGAGAGACTCCTTTACATTTGCATAGACTTCTCTCAAGAGAAGTCTTTAAAAAAAATCAATTGTAATTCAGGTTTGGATTATTATTATGGCAACATCTATTTTTTCTTTAACTATGGAAGCAGCAGCCAGTACAGAAAAGCATTAAACCAGTTTCTTGTCTCCAAAATCACCAGTTTTTAGTGGCTTTAAGTTTGCATAACAGAAGTAGAATGTTCAGTTTTAGAAGACTGGACAGAATTTTGAAAAGCATTGTAAGTGCATGTTTTCTTACTTTTATGGTTCCAAATGTCTTTATAAAATAAGTTATCTCTTACAGAAAATAAACCAGTAGCAGGTAAGCAAAACTTTTCTTAATTCTATTGTGTGAAATTTTGTATAGGGGAATATTAAAATAGTGTCCTCTGTTAGCACAAATGCTTTTATACTGGTGTGTTAGGCTTGTAGTATTTTGAAATGTTCACATTTTTATGGGAGGGAAATAAAGTGTTGGTGTAGGTGTTTTTTTCCCTAAACTCTACTTTATCTTCTGTAATCAAGACACTATAAAATTACTATACTGACTCCTTTTGACTTATGTTCTTTCTCTTTCTTTCTGCACAAGCACTCCTATTTGGACAGGGAAACCTCCCTTCTTCTGAGAAACATTGCAGGAAAGCCTTCTCATTTGCTGACCAAGGTGATACTTCTTCTTTCCACCTGCATGTGACTATTTCTATGTAGAAAGAATGCTTTTGGTGTGTGCTATTCTCCTCCCACCCCTGCCCTTTTCAGGAACTGCTGTGTTTAGCTAAATGATTTTCCTGATTGTCCAAGGTGATTTTAAGGGCTGAATTTTATTGTTTGTTTCTGCAGATTTATCAAAGTGTTCAAGTTCTTGGCAAATACTAGCTATGTCAGCAGGTAAAATGCCTTAGCTGAAAAGGAAATGTACTGAGCTAGAAGTTCTTTTGTTCCTATTTCCATTTGCTAGTTTAAAAAAAAAGAAATCACAACAGTGGAAAATACGTGGGAGTATTCAATACTGTTAAAAGGTAATAGTATCCTTAAAATAAGTTCACTTGGTATATTGAAGATAAACTGTAATAAGTAATGGATTTTTTTCAAACATTTTGAATGCTGTCATGATATAATGTGGGGAGAGTATCTCAGTAAGACAGTGGTCTAATGAGCCATGTATGTACAAAGCCTCATTATAAATTCATTTTCTTTACAGGAAAGTGGTCATTAATGTACTAAGAAAGCACAAATTGCCATTCACTTTCTCTGGTTCAGTTTTACATTTTCCATACATACTTACTTTTGAAACTAGAGTAGGAGGGATGGAGCAGCCTATAAATCTCCTTGATGAAAAACAAGCTGGGGTCAAGAACATACAGCTTCATGTTGCTGACAAAACTTTTGAATGTTCAGTAGCTGAGGTGTCAGATGTTTGATGTTACTGTCTATCACAAACCACTCCTTGGGTTATTTTTCTAAAATAGACACTCTAGAGGAGAAACTTCAGGCATCCTTGAATTGACAAAATGTACCTTGATGCCTTCAAAACAGTAAGGATAATGTTTGCTGGGCATAAGTAGTCTATATTTTCAATAAAAGCTTACAACTAGTTTACTGCTTTTTTCTTAAGTACCTTAAAGTTCTTCTCAACATGCATCTTGACAACAAATTTTCAGACTGTTTTCTAGAGGAATAGAAACAGCCAAAACCAAGTAATTTTCTGTTTCTGTGATTGTTTTGCTTAAAATTTAAGTCCATACCTCTTTCAACTCCCCCCCATCAGCCCTCACACCCCCAACAAAGCAAACAGCCACCAAAACAGCAAACCTTGCTTGATTGCAAATAAATTGACAATGGCTGTGACACAAACAGTATTTTTTTCCCTTTCATCTCCATGTGTTTTAATATCCTCCCTTTTGGTTATTTATGTACAGGATGAGTGTTGGTTAGCATATGGAACTTCAATAAGAAAATGCGTAAAATTTTAAGTCTGTTGCATCATTCAGCGGCGAACTGCCACTTACTGGTGATTTTAATAGGCTCCTGAAGTTAAAAGTTTTGCTTTATAAATCTTTTGTCTTGGCTTATTAGACTTTGTAGCCCTTTAAGTCAGGTGCTTATGGTGAGCTTGCCAGTGTTCTGAGGGTAATGTTTGTTGTTAGCTTGGCTTAAGACTTTCTCAGTACGGCTGTGCCCTCTACTTCTGTCCTGGTGTGCCTGGTTCTCTTCTGAACTGCTGAGAGAGGTATCTTCAGTAAAATGGTGAAATGGAAGTCCACTTTGCTGCTTAGAGATCTTCAGCTTGCTGTAGCATTGGATAAGCCCCAGTATGAGAAAAACAGTCCCAAGAAATGGGGCTTTTCCCTTGCGATTGTAGCAAGGTGTTAGACCAGTTAACTATAGGGTCATGTTGTAGTTCTCTAGTGTGACAACTATTTCTTATTGTCTTACTGTTTCTTGTATTCTTCCCCTTCTTTGATCTGTCTACCACTTATAAGTGAAACTAAAGACACTTCAGGGGAATGGTAATACCATTTTTGTCCTCCGGTAATATAATGAATTGTAAAAATTCTAGTCATGGAGTAGACTCCTTTTTCATTACAACCATGTACACTGCAAACACAGTTCCTGTCACAGCATAGGGCAGACCTCAGCACAGAAAATGATCTATTCATTGTGGTAGTCTCTTCATTTTTAAGTGTAATTCCATGTGTTATTTTTCACACAGCATTCAAACCCTTTTTTTGGAAACAGAAAAAAGTGAAAGCATATCAGTGAAGTTATTGAATATTGAAAATAAAGCAATATATCTTTAACGTTAAGTCTGCAAGCTTGTTTTGCAGCAGGGTTGGAATTAAGCCATCGAATGAATACTGAAAAGTAAGCTTATGGCTGTGAAATACAGAGCACATGCAAATAATTTTGAGAGAGTATTCAGGGCTCAAATGTATTCCAGTTTAGGACATGAAAATAGGAAACAGAAAAGTAACATGCTGGATTTTGAAGTTACTATTTCTTCTACCATTCTGATGCATGTGAAGCTGAAACTACATTCAGGAAGCCAGATGGTGGTGATTTAATGATGTAATGCTTCAGATACGTATGTCAGCATCTGGAGAAACGAAATCATGTTATGCCTTCTCTTCCCAAATATCTAGTACTTCATTCTTCTTTTCTTGTTCACCTGAAAGAAAAACATTATTTTTATGAATGTCGATTCCCCTGGTTTGTAGATTTTGGTTACTGCACACTGTAATCCTTTCAGATCTTTGAATAAATCAGTTGTGAAGTTGGCGTCTTGCATCTTAGGTCAATCTGATTCAGATGTGCTCATTCTTGAATGAAGTATCTGTTTGAGATTTTTTTTAAAATGCACTTTAAAAATACAGCAGCTGATTTCTAATCTGAGAAGTTATGTAAACATGATCTGAAAGCTCAAGCCTCTTACAGCCAGCTTTTGAGGAAGTTGTGATGGCTCACACCTGAAAACCACAAAAAGGATTAGGTGGTTAGTAGCAGGATTTTGTGCAATGCTGAAAATTATGATATTAAATTTTTATTCAACAAGCTGCTTTGTACTAACCTGCTGTGATTATTGTGATGTTCCTTTGTAGTTTGTGTCACCTTTGTCTTGGAATGAATTATCATGTCTCACGTATACATTGTTAGAGAAACAGCCTATGTTCTCAAATCTGTTTTTCTGCCCTGTTATCAACATATCAGTCGAGCTTTTTGTCCAGCTAAAACTCCTTACCAGAAAGTCATAGTGCCTCATTCATTATGTAGTAGTCGTTTTTTTCCACTTTTAAACTTCATTACTGTGGTTTCTAAGGCCTATTTTCCTTCCTGTTTTAACTGTATTTTCTCTTCCCTTTCTTGCTTTTTCCTAGTCCCAGACCTTTTCTCCTATAATATTTGCCTTAGGTAGTCCCAGTGAGAATCCTGGTCTACAGCTGTTACAAGAGAGGTCCTATGCAGAGGCAAGCGGAAAGATAATCTAGTGCATATGGATGCTTCAAGGCATAAAGAGCCAGTGAAACTCCTTGCAAATGTGTTTTAGCTCTATTTTCTTCTTTATCACTACTAGCTTTGTCAAGTATAGTTTGAGTATTCTTTCAGAGGGACAGCAGAATGTATGTCCCTGTATGCCATACCTTGAAGCACACCTTTCAAAATGGCACCAAGTCTAGCTGGAGGCCCTTAACCAGTGGTGTACCATAGAAGTCAATACTATGTCCAATACTTTTCAGTGTCTTCATTAATGATCTGGACAGTGGGGTAAACACTAACCCTAATTTCTCTCTCTTGGGCTAAGTCCCCTGCCTCTGGCCCACACCACTTCCTCAACACTGATCTCCTTCCTCCAGCTTGCCTTTGACTGCCCAATTCCAGGACCACTTCAATGGCCTCTCTGGGCGTGCTCTTTCACTCAGCCATAATCCTATAGACAAGCTGTTGATGTGTGGGATGGGTAAACAGACAGTGAGGTGGACTAAAAACTGGCTGAATGGCTGAGCCCAGAGAGTGGTGATCAGTTTAGTTGGAGGGCAGTAACTAGCAGTGTACCCCAGGGCTCTGTACCTGGGTCCAGTTTGTGGTTTTTTTTAACATCTTCATTACTGATCTGGATGATGAGACAAAATGTGCCCTCGGTAAGTTTGCTGATGATACCAAACTGGGAGCAGTGGCTGTGATGCCAGAGGGTCGTGCTGCCATCCAGAGGGACCTTGACAGGCTGGAGAAAGGGTCTGACAGGAATCTCACAAAGTTCAACAGAGGGAATTGTGAAGTTCTGCACCTGAGGAGGACCAACAGCATGCACCAGTCTATGCTGGGGACCACCCAGCTGGCAAGCAGCTCAACAGAAAAGGACCTGATAGTACTGGTGGATGCCAAGTTGACTGTGAGCTAGCGGTGTGCCCTTGTGCCAAACAAGGCTAATGGTATCTTGAGCTGGGAGGAGTGTTGCCAGCAGGTGGGTGGAGGTGATCCTTTCCCTCTACTCAGCATTGGTGAGGCCACACATGGAGTAGTGTGTCCAGTTCTGGGCTCCCCAGTACATGAGAGATGCAGAGCTACTGAAGAGAGTCCAGCAAAGGGCCACAAAGATGATAAAGCAACTGGAGCATCTCTCCTCTGAGGAGGGCCTTAGAAAACTTAGACTGTTCAGCCTGACTCACGGAGATCTCACCAATGTGTACAAATATCTGAAGGGAGTGTGTAAAGATAAGATGGATCCAGGCTCTTTTCAGTGGTTCACAGTGACAGGACCAGATGCAATGGGCACAAATTGTAACACAGGATGCAGAGTCTGAACATCAGGGCATGCTTTTTTACGGTGAGAGTGACTTGAGCACTGCCATAGGTTGGCCAGAGAGGTTGTGGAATCTCCCGTCTGTGGAGATACTCTGAAGCCAGCTGGACACGGTCCTGAGTACATGGCTCTGCTTGAGCAGGGGAGCTGGACAAGATGAGCTCAGCCATTCTGTGAAAGTTGAGGAAAACAGGATTCCCAGAGAGAGTCATCCTTTTTTTTTTTTTTTTTCAATATGGACAAACTTAACTTTGCTTTTCCTCATCCTCTGAGGTAGCTGAGGAACTGGTTTTGCATCCTCTCTTCCTCAACATCAGTTTGAGATAGACACTAGCATTGCAGTTTTCTTCCCAACCAGTTGGTTT